TATGGGAAAATATTGGCAGTGGGGGGAAGACAGAAACCCAGAAAACCGTCTCCCGCGAAGCCCCTCAGCCCCAGACAGCCCAAGGCCTCGCTGACAACGCCCGAACCTCTGAGGCCCCCGAAGGCCACAACTGCGCCCCGTCCCGGGCCAGAGGCTTCGGAGCGAACTCGCAAGGGCGAGGAAGCACGCCTAATTTTGAGGTGCGCGATGGGATCGGGCGAGTTCTGATGGAGGGCCTCCAGAGCCGCCTGGACGAGGTCCTCCTTGACCTCCCGAGGCCCCTCATCCCCAGTGGCGCTGCAGGCCCACAACCTGCGAAGGAGGATGCCTGGGCGCAGGCTTCACTTGGCACAGAGACGCGAGATCTGATGCCCCTTGGCCAGCGCCCCGACCTGTGCCCAGACCGTGCTGTAGCACAGAGATCGGACGCGCCCCTTTTCAAAGTGGCCGAACTGGAAGGATCAGGGCGACTGCCGGATCACACCGGAGCACAGCCTGGGGGCCCCATCCCCTTCAAGGGAGTCCGCTAAGCTCGCGGCGCCTCCTCCTGGCTCCCCAGAAGGAAGATGCCGGGGGGGGGCGCTGCGATGTTGGCGTCGGACCCTCCAGCTCCAGCGCCGCGTTCTGACCCGGCGGAGGTTGCGGCTGGTCCGGCAAGAGGCGCGGGCGAGGCGCGCCGACCTGCGTCGGCGAGAGCAGCGGGCGGGGCCACGCCCAGAGAGAGGTCGCAGTCCAGGGGCCTCTGGAAAGCCTGCCTCTCCAGAGTCTTCAGAACTGCCCCGTGAAAAAGCTTCCTGCGCAAAGTCGGCGCCAACGCAGCGCACGAGACCTGGTTCCTAGAAGCGTCCACGAGGCACGCGCAGGCGGACGTGCTCCACCCGAGACGCTCGAGCGACATGAGCAGCGCAGGCACGGGCCCCGATACAATCCTCCATGTGAGCCGGTGCTCTCCAGCTGCGAAGTAGCCGCGTGCATGAGTCTGCTCCCATGGCTCAGCTAGGGGACGCTGGCCTCCTCTCCACAAGCGTCACAAGGGGAACATCCCAATGGGACGGTAAGCCATTCTCGGGTTACTCAACATAGCAACGATTACAGCTCTTGGCTCAGATGGATGTATAGGGGTAGCCTTACCCAGAACGAAGATCTGAATGAGAAGCTGCAAGCTCTCGTCGATCATGAACTGGTAATGCCTTCGATGGAACCCGTTGTATGAGACCTCGATAGACCGCGCTCCTTGCGGGGCATGTCCTGCTGATTGTCTTTAAGGCCCTCGCAACTCAGGGGAGGAAGAAATTCAGCACAATGGACCGCCAACTTGGGATACGGCTGCCTGACCTTCCAGAGGCCTGAGAATCGAGAAACTCCCAAATCGAGCAAACCCTGAAGGTCTGGAACCGCCAAACATTCTTCAGTCAAAACAGTGGTCGCCTTCCAAGAACAAGGGTCTTTGTTTGAGTGCGGTGTGAAAATGTCGGGCCCCCTGGTTCAGCACTTCTGTGAACCAACGTGTCAACCCTGCTTGGTCACGATGCACGAGGACAGGATGTCCTTCCGCTGATCGTAAAGAAAACCGAGCGAGGTGCAGTAGTCAAAGTCCTTGACCCTGTGCCACTCGCTGAGCAGAGAGCTGACGGTCTAGGTGGCCCCCATCGGCCCCCATGTGGTCCTCAATCCAGGTAGAAGACTCCTGCGCGTGCCAGCAACCAGACTGGCCATCACAACCTCGGCCGCCGAAACTTCCCCTTGCAGATCTTGTTGTCCAAGGGGGCACAAACGCTGAGCCGACTTCAAAACCACTTGAGAGCGTGCACGGCAAGGTCCTTGATATCTCGGTAATCGAAATGTATGGTCGACTTCCAGGTGTCATCTGGACCCTGTCCTCTCCCACCCAAGTAAGGAAGGCGCAAGGCCCGCCCCGTAGAAACCTTTCAGATCAATCCCCGACTTGTTGACCCACTGCCTGCAGACCAAAGAAACTGGCATCCCTATTCTGCATGCCTCCTCCGCCTTGACAACGGTTTCACACCTCCTGGAAGCAAGTCGGGCCCCTTCGAGAAGTCGGGGGGGGCGATGCATAGGCCTGGGGTCTGGGATGACAGGCAGCGGGGGGTCCGAAATCCAATCGCCTACAATCTTGATAGCGCCGCGTGAATATGAGCTGACACTGCGCAGCGAGGGCTGACACGGTTTTTCTCTGTGAGGCCGACGTGATTGACCCCCTTCTGCCAGCCAAGCAGAACACCCGACACCACATAGCACCGCCCCTGGGCTCCGAAACACGGTGGGGCTTCGGCACAGGTATCTTCACCTTCGGCTTGATCAACCAACGCCAGTTGAAATCGCCTCCAACAATGAGCGAGCTCCCCTCGACAACCACTGAGGTCCCACTGGCCCCCAAGAGGTCCAGCCGACGATCGGTGACTCCATTCAGCGTCGAAGCCGTGGCACGAGGTGAGCGCCACGGGCGTTCCTCCCGAAAAATGTGCCGTGGCTCCCACGGCTCTGGCGGGTAGATGCTACTCCCGCTCCAGCGCCTGGCCAAAATCTTGCCGTCGCTCGGACGTCCATTCCCTGTTTTTTTTTCCGGTGTCGTGCGCGTTTTCTTCGCCAAATGATCAAGGATGCTCCTCGATGGCCCTCGCAGAAGGAAAAATGCACACGTCCGAGCGATGCCAAGAAATAGCCTCACCTCCCGACGTGCCCCCCGCAGGCGTTCGATCGGCGGCCTCCCGGGCAGATTTATCCAGCCCTGGCTTGGGCAAGACGAGTCGGCCCGACCAAGGCCGTCAGGATCCTGGAGAGAAAAGAAAGGGATGCGGGTGGAGAGTGGTGGAACGAGGAAGGCTCCTCCTCCTCCTCCTCCTTTTCCTCTTTCTCCTCCTCCTCCTCCTCCTCCTCCTCCTCCTCCCCCTCCTCCTCCTCCTCCTCCTCCTCCTCCTCCTCCTCCTCCTCAGTAAGATGCAGGATGGAGAGGGTCGGAGGATGGAGGAAGGGGGAACGAGGGCTAAGAGGGGACGAAGGACGAACAAGCGGGCGCCAGGAGAGGGCGAATGAGCAGGAAGAAAGAGAGGACGAAGGAGCGGGAGGACCGAGCGACTGTGCAGGCGGGGAAGGTGCGGTGGGCAGGGAGGCCGAGGGATGAGGGATGACAGAGAAGAGAGCAGGGACGAATGAGAGGAGGCGAAACAGGGAAGGAAGGATGAGGAATGGAAGCGAATCCAGAGGGGGAGCAAAGAAGACAGGAGATGGGAAGAGGAGCGAGGAGGGAGGGAAGGCGGGATGAGAGAAACGCGCGCCTCGTTGATGAATAGTGGGTGACTTCTGGTCCTCCTTCTCCTCTGCTCCGCCCGTCTCCTCCTGAGGAAGATGTATGACAGACGAGCAGGAGGAGGAGGAGGAGGAGGAGGAGGAGGAGGAGGACTGGAGGATCATTGGAGGAGAAGGAGGGCAAAGCGGAAGCAGGGAGGACATGGGGGAGGGACGGGAGAAGATTCCAGCAGGAGGGGGAGGAGGAGCAGGAGGGCGAGGAGGGCGTTGGAGAGGGGCGGAGGGTGCAGAGGACGGGGTAAACTAGGAAAGAAAGTGGAGGGAGAGAAGGAGGACGCTCAACACGCGTCCTCACTCGTTCCTGCATGCTTCTTCTTCTTCCTCCTCCTCCTCCTCCTCCTCCCCCTACATCCGTCCCTCCTTTTTCTGCCTCCTCCATCCTCCCTCCTCCATCCCGCGTTCTTGCTCCATCCCTCCTCCCTCCTCCTCCCGCCTCCCTCCTCCCCTTCTCCCACCTCCCCCCCCCTGGCCCCTCCCACCTCCCTCCTTCTCCTCCTTCCCTTCCCTCCATCCTCTATTCTCCGCATCTTCATTACTCCCCCCACCTCCCTCCTCCTCCTCCTCCGCCTCCTCTTCCTCCTCCTCCTCCATTATGCCACGTCCTTCGCCTCCTCCTCCTCTTCCTCCTCGTCCTCCTCTTTCTACTGCTCTTCCGCCTCCTCCGCCTCCTCCGCCTCCATCTCACTCCGTTCCCCTGGGGTGCATCAACATGTGCCGATACTACTACTCCCCGAGACCGCTCCCGGGTGCGTTCTGCGCCGAACTTCTAGGCGAATCCAGCGGTGGCGACGAGGGCCTCCCAGGAGGCCCTCAAAGGCGAAAGCGATAAAAAGGCATCGATATAGGACTTTGTTTCCCCTCTGATTCTCCTTCTTGTGCTCCTCCTCTTCCTCTTCCTCCTCGGCCCGAATTCTTGTCCGCAGGAACAACTCCTTCCTGTCGTATTCGGAGGCCAGTCGGAAGGGCGGGCCGCACGTTTCGCCTGAGACTTCCTCACCACTAATGAGCCTGAAGCTTAAAAACTGGCCACAGCTTCACAGATGGAAGGCAGCTCGCTGCCAAATTGTGGCTCTCGCCTTAGCGCCGCACGCATTCGTTTCAAACATGTGCAAGAGTTTCACGGGTTGAGGGCGGGTCGCTTTCAAAATGTGGTGCTCGCCTCAGCGCCGCGCACATTCGTTTTCAAAATTTGCAAGTGTTTCACGGATGGAGGGCGATGCCTTTCTAAAATGTTACTCTCGCCAAAGCGCCGGACACATTTGTTTCAAACAGTTGCAGGAGTTTCACCGAATCTCATGCTTGACGTAACAAGATGGCGTTTGGGAACGATTTGGGATTGCCAGGGCGCAACGGTTGCGTCGATTCGCAATGTTGAAGTCTCATGAACGGTGATATAGCGTGATGCAGGATCGTCAAGACGCTACAGTCAGGTTGACTCGGGGCGTTCAAATCCTGAGAATGGTGTTTCGGCGCACTGCAGGATTTTCACACGGTTGTCCCCCACCAGGGCACTGCCCTCAGTGGACTTGAACCTTGTAGGGACCCATGAAGACGGAGCTTGGAGAGAAGGTGTATTCCAACAACGCCGACGAGTCTTCGGTTTCCACTGGTCGTCCTCCTTCTCCTCCTCGTTTCCCCCGCCCCTCTCCTCCTCGTAGCCACTCCGAAGGCGCCTTGCTGTCCAGCCAGTGCTTGAACGACCACGGCTTGTTGTACCAGGGAAATTCCGCGGCCTCAGGAATCGCGGGCGCGACGTGGACCTCCACGGTGTGGCGAGAGGGAGAAGAGGAGAGGAGAACAGACGAGAGAGGAGGAGAGGAAGGAGGCAGAGAGGGAGGGAGGAGAGAGAGGGAGGAGACAGCAAGGATTATCCGACTCTAGGATGATCTCGCGCGCGCCAGGGAAGGGGCACGAGGTCCGGGAGGAAGGGAGGCAGGGAGGGAAGCGAGAGAGAGAGAGAGGGGGGAGGAACTCGTTCGAAGAGGGAGGAGGAACCTCCTCCCCCTCCACCTCCTCCTCCTCCTCATCATCACCAGCAGCATAGTTAGCAGCATAATCACCATCACCTTCGACAGCACCGTCACCAACGTCAGCAACAACACATAATCCGCCGAGCCCTTGGGGTCACGGCGTGTGAGATGCTTCCCCCTCCCAAAACCCCTCCCCCGGGAGCCCGTTCCGGCCGGTTTGGAGGGGGGTGGGGGCGGGGGGCAAATGCGTCAGCCGCCCCCTTGGAGCCTCAGGGGTCCCCAGAACGGGCCGAGAGTCCCAAAAGACACCCCGGACGGTCGCAGAGGGCTACGAGTCGCCGAGAGGTCGTTCCTAGACGCCCAAGATTCCCTCCAGACGGCCCCGGAGGCCCCAAGACGCTCCAAGAAGCCACCAAGAGGCGTCCCAAGAGGCCCTCAAGAAGCAGAAATCGTCCCATTCCCAAGGGAACATGTCTATGTTTAGCACATTCGCCCCTTGCCGTTCACGAGGCCCACAACGGTCCAGGAAGCCTTCGAAGATCGACCCCAGACAACCCAAGAGGCCCCCAAGAGGGGCTCCAAGACAGCCTAAGAGGGCCCCAAGAGGGTCCCCCGAGGCTCCTAAGACGCCCCAAAAGCCAGCAGGAAACGTCCCAAGAGGCCCTCAAGAAGCAGAAATCGTTCCATGCTCTATGGGAAATGCAAGTGTTCAGCACATTTGCCTCTTGGGCTTTCACGAGGCCCACAACAGCCCAAGAAGCCTTCAAGATCGACCCAAGACAGCCCAAGAGGCTCCCAAGAGGGCTCCAAGACGACCCAAGAGGGCGCCAGGAGGGCCCCAGAAGCCACCAAAATGCGTCAGGAGGGCCCCAGGACGGCCCCAAGAGGTCCCCCAAATTGGCCAAGCGGGACCCACAGGGCCCCCCCGACGGTCCAAAGGGGCTACGACTGGTCAGGAGATCGCTCCAAGACGCTCAAGATTGCCTCCAGACGGCACCAAAGGCCCCCTAGACGCCCCAAGAAGCCACCAGGAGGCGTCCCAAGAGGCCCTCACGAAGCAAAACGTCCTCTACTCTGTGGGAAACGTATATTTTCAGCACCTTCGCCTCTTGGCCGTTCACGAGGCCCACAACAGCCCAAGAAGCCTGCAAGATCGACCCAAGATAGCCCGTGAGGCTCCCAAGAGGGCTCCAAGACGGCCCCAAAAGCCGCCAAGGAGGGCCCCAGGACGGCCCCAAGAGGAGGGTTCTGAGGGGAAACCCGAATAGAGATTTCGATCACTCGGCCCCGAGAAAACCCGAGGAGGTGCCAAGAGGCCCCTAAGAGGCCCCCAAGAGGCTCCAATATGCCCCTGAGAGGTTCAAAAGAGACCCCCAGAGGCCCCAACACGGCTCACCAGAGGCGTCAAAAGTGCTGCCAGGAGGACTCTGAGAATCCAACTCCTCCTCCTTCTCTTCCTCCTCCTTCCTCCTTCCTCCTTCCTCCTTCTCCTCCTCCTCCTCCAACTCTTCCTCCTCCGACGACGATGAAGACGACGACGACGACAACGACTCCTCCTCCTCCTCCTCCTCCTCCTCCTCACTTCCCCGGCTGAAATTTGCTCAACATCGTTCCCTGGACTCTTGCCAGGGTCCATCCGGCGCAGATTCTCAGCTGGGGTCTGTCTTTGAAAGCCACGGGACCCTGAGGCGGCCCTCCGACGACAAAAATATTGAACAACGAGGGGTCGGCGGCCGTCACCGTCACCATCGCCATAACCATCATCAGCAGCAACGGCAGCATCATCAGCAACATCGGCATCGACAGCATCATCATGATCTTGATGATGTTCAGCATCAGCAACATCGGCATCAGCATCATCAGCAGCATCAGCATCGGCATCAGCATCAGCATCAGCATCAGCATCATCATCATCAGCAGCATCAGCATCAGCATCAGCATCGGCATCATCCTCATCATCCTCATCCTCATCATCATCATCATCATCATCATCATCATCATCAGCATCATCATCATCATCATCATCATTATCATCACGGCCGTCATCACCATCGTCAGCGTCATCGTCATCGCCATGGCCACCACCACCATCATTAACACCATCACGACCGCCAAAATGATCATCACCACCATCATCAACATCAGCGTCATCATCACCGTCACCATCACGATCATCACTACCACCATCTTAAATCGTAAGCATGACCATACCCATTATCAAACCCGTCATTGCCATCATCAACATCACCAGCACCATCATCATCGTCCTCATCATCGCGCTCCTCCTCCCCCTCATCATCAAAATCATCAGCATAACCACCGTCACCATCGGCGTCATCAGCATCATCAGCAACACCATTAACAACATCGTCAGCATCATCGTGCTCATCATAGTTGGCGTCGTTGACGTCATCGTGGTCGTCATCGTCGTCACCGTCATCATCATCAGCAGCATCATCAGCATCATCATCGTCGTCGTCATCATCGTCGCCATCACCACCACCACCACCGTCATGAGCATCAACATCATCAACATCGTCATTACTGGCGCCGCTAGCATCATCTCCACCATCAATATAGTCCAAATCCGAATCAACATCTCAACGACCAACACCACAATCACACGATCACTACAACCGTTACCATCATTGACGTCATCATCATCAGCATCAGCATCATCATCATGATCATGATCACCATGATCGGCGACATCATCATCAGCATCGTCATCATCAGCATCACCATGATCATCATCATCAGCAACATCATCAACATCATAAGCATCATCAGCAACACCAGCACCACCGCAACCATGATCATCATCATAATCAGCAGCATAAGCAGCATCATCCTCATCAGTATCAGCATCATCGTCATCATCAGCATCATCATCATCAACAACATCCCCACCATCATCCCCATCATGTCATCATCATCAGAAGAAGTAGCAGCATCACCACCACCATCCTCATCATCATCATCATCAACCTCGTCAGCTCAAGCCCTGGCCCGAGGTTCCAGGGACATGAGGGCCTGTTCGCTCCCATTCGCTGCCTTTTACCTCCTTTCGGCACTGCGATGCGTGGCAACTCTGATGAAGATTGTGCAATGGAACCCCATGTCTCTTTCAGACTATGACAGACGACTGGAGGTCGCGCTACAGGTGAAGTCTGCGGACATTGTCCTCCTCTCGGGCACGACTGCCAAGAAGAATAAGGACCACCCCACGTACCATGAACTGCTTTACCACGAGAATTTCATGATGCTGAACTTTGGATGGGGAGGAGGGCGCCGGAGTCTTGCGAACGAAAGCTGTGGAGTTGAGATATGGCTCAATCGACGACGCTTCCGACGGTCACATCTGCAACATTTCTGGAACATACAAAGTTTACTACACGGACGAATGGGAGCTGTACGAGTGAAATCCACACAGTTCGACTTTACCCTGAAAGTGAGCTACTTCCCTCCCAGGTGTACGGAAGCGCGAGGAATCCCACAGTATGAGACTACGGTGCGCAAGATGACGGACACGCTGTTGAGCATCACGGAGGGCACGCCGAATCGGAGCACTATCATAGCGTCTACAGACTTGAATGACAGGATGGGCATCCAATCATGCGACGGCCTGCTGCATCAGACGGACAGCACGAGCATTGGGCCATACGGTAGCAGCTTGGAGCATCTGGCGGGCACGTCCTATCGAGAATGGATTGAGGACAACAACATGGCAGCGGTGACAAGCTTCTTCCCGTGCGGCCCGACCTGTCACGGACACAAGAGCGCGAACTACATCCACCACTTGGCTATATCGGCGCCGTGGCTCGTTCGGGTTCAGCGGTGCGCGATTGCCTATAACCTCACACGGCGAGTACGGGCGATCCCGAGCGTGGCAATCCTGGATCACATGATTATCGTACCAGAGCTAGACTACCAGCTCACGTTGCCGGCGCCACGACAAAGCAGTGGTTCCTGGGATTTCCTCTCGCTCCGCAAGGCTACAACGAACGAGGCGGAGCAGCTCAGAGCAGAAGTGGAGCAGGCTCTCGAGGCGAAGCTTACGGCGAGCGGCTACCACGAGGCAGCGGCGTGGATGCGATCACACACTCTTGAATCTTCTTGGATGGAACTAGCCACTACCCTCCAACAGTGCGCTATGGCACGACACTCTACAAGCAGAAAGGATCAGCCCGAATGAAATGTACGCACGGCACGCGAACGCGAAGCAGCACTACGGGCTCGCACAGCGGCACGTGACAATTTGGACTGTGAACTTGAGAGCGTCCGATAGTTACGACAGTGTACACGACGACGCAAGGAAGAGAGGACGCGACTCCGACTCGAGCGTGAAGCTGATCGCACGGACCAACTGGACTCCGCACTACGCTACAATCGAGGCGACGAGGCATGGCGTGTGTGTTTCGAGATGGCTGGCACTGGACTACGACCGAGAAAGCGCAACATCTACGTACTCCCAGGCTCCCAGCCTGACCTGCAAACCTGGACCGAGGATCTGGCACTCACGGGAGGTGAAGGCGGGCTTGAAGCAGCACGTGTGGATCGAGATACCTCCATCGAACTAATCACTGAGATGGGTTACCCTTTCTATCCTGGGATATAGCATTGGACCGAGGCGAATACGGAACTGCAGCTGATGATCGATAAGGTCTCGTGCGGACACAGACGACGAGCATCACCGCAGTGGTCTATGCCAACACAGATATGGTGCCTTCTTATGTCGTGCCGCGAACAACGGAAGCAGGGAGAGGAGCGGAAGCATGGTATCGGACCTG